AATATCTACGGTGTTTGTAACTGTACCGTGTTTACTCATTGTATTTGTTCTTTGTTTGTCTTTTTCCCCTCTTTTTCTGCCGCCTCTGGTTTTAATTTAGCATTTTATATGGTTCCATACTATCTCTTCTGTTAACATATCATTTGTACTTCTTTTTCAATGTTTTTAGTGGTTGCTTAGAGTTTGCAAAATACATTTTATACTATTTCACCTGTAGCACAGGTACCTTATAACAGAGTATTCCAAATTCCTTCCTCCTAGCCCTATGACATTGCTGTCATTCATTGCACTTATCTATAAGCTGTAATCATCACCTATTCCAATCTAAGATGTTCTTGTTCTCAGTCTGATGTCAGACTGCCATCTTGGGTTTCCCTCTAATGTCTCCAGGATTGAGTCCACTGGTTTCTAGTTTTCACATCTTCCTCATTACTGGATTACTTCCCTGTTTTTCTAGAATCCATCCTATTGTGTTTTCCTAAGGGTGGATGTGTGCTGCTCAATGTTATACACTTACAAAATAAACAAATAGATAAACTAGAACCATACTAGAGGACTTAGAAAATTTTTTTGCAAGGTATTAATGTACAAGACAAATTTGATGCAGAAAACTGTCTATAATGCATAGAAATAAAATGATATAATATTACAATGTAATATGATGAAAAAAACCCTGCCAAATGTTGGTAGGTTATAGATATAGGTAGATGGAATTATTGGCTTAGAGAGAATTTAGGGACAAATACATGCAAGGTTCCTAAAATGAATTATGCAAGCGGAGTAGGAACAGTGATGTGGATGGAAAGGAAGGAGAGACGTGGTTGGAAACAAGCAACACATAAAAAGAAAAATACAGTCATGCGTGGCATAATGACATTTTGGTCAACAGCCCACCACTTATACAATGGTGATCCCATAAGATTAATACCATACAGCTTAGGTGTGTAGTAGGCTATACCATCTATCATGTTCACACAATAACAAAATCGCCTAATGACACAATTCTCAGAATGTATTGCCATCATTAAGTGACAACAAATGACTGCAGTAGTTGCATAAAAATTTAAGAGCATGTATAAAATGCATTTTTAAAACTTCATATATATGCATTGGTATATACATGAAGGAAATAAAATTTTAGGAAAAATACCCACAAAGGGTGTTTTTAAAGTAAAATTTCTCAGCCCTACATGTCTGAAGTTGTCCTGATTCACTCCAAGTTTTGAAGGGCTATGTACAGTTACTGTCAATGACGAGATGTCTCAAGCTATTCTTGCCATCATTCCTCCACAGGTGACCGGTTTCATAATTCTTTCTGGAAGCTTTTAAGTTCTCTTTGATTTTTAATTGTTGTCATTTTATAATGATGTGCCTTTGTTTGGTTCTTTTAAAATTCATTTGTCTAAGTACCCAATTTTGTCCTTTTTAAAACTTCATGTCCTTCTGCTCCATAGTATCTCCTTAAAAAATTCTCTTGATGTGTTCCTCCTCTGCATTTTCCTTGCACGTTTTCTTGACTCCAATTAGGTGGCTGTTAGACCACCTAAATTAATCTTTACCCTCTTATATTTTCTCTCAAATTTACTCATTGTTCCTCCGCTTAATCTCTTTACTTAATTTTCTGGGAAACTTCCTCGATTTTATTTTATAACCATTTTAGTAAATTTTACTCAATTTCCAAAACTCAGCTGTAAAAAATATCTAAGGCCACTATCTGTTTCTTTGATAGCTCCTTTTTCATTGTATCTTGGGGTGCAATATGTGTTCTCCACTCTCTCTAAAAATATTAGAGGTTTTTAAGTTTCTCCTGTTTCCTATAATATCTCTGTTTCTTCTGGAGTAACTTTTTTCTCTTTTTCATTTTATTCTTTCTTTCTGCTGTTTGGAGAATTTCCTCAAAAGTCTACTGACCTGTGGTTATCTGTTCCTACTTAAGAGGAGGTTCTGGAAATCAATCAATGTGATTCACCAATTTAAAGAATAAAGAAGCAAAACCATATAAATGCATTTGATAATATTCCACATCTGTCCACGGTAAAACTCTGCAAACTAGGAATGGATAGAAACTTCCTCAGTCTCATTTAAAATACATATATTTAAAATATATATATGTGTGCACGCACACACACACGTGTACAGCAAACATCCTACTTAATGGTGATACTGAATGCTTTTTCTCTAAGATAGGAAACAAGCAAGGAAGTCCACTCTCACCACTTCTCCTCAATATTGTATTTAAATGCCTAATGGAGCAATAAGGGAGAAAAAGAAAAAGAAAATTGTTGGAAAGGAAGAAGTAGAAAAGTTTTATTTACTGATGACATAGTTACTTATTTCTATACAATCCAAAAGAAATCTATCAAATACATTACTAAAATACACGAATTTAGCAAGGTGATGAATGCATGATTAATATTTTTGAAAAACATTCTATTTTCATACAATAGTAATAAGCAATTTAAAAAGCAATACCATTTAAAGTAGCACCAGAAAGAATGAAATAACTAGAAGTAAGTTTAATGGAAGTTGTGCGTGACTTCTACACTAAAAACTATAAGCACTTCTTAAATTAAATTAAGGAAAACCAAATAAACAGAGAGCTATACAATGTTAACAGACTGGAGCTCAATATTGTTAAGATGTCAGTTCTCACCAAATTTATCTATAGGTTCAATGCAAACCTAGTAAAAATCCAAAAGGTTTTTCCTGTGGAAATTGACAATTTTATTTTAAAAGATATGTTAAAAAACAAAAGACCTAGAAAAGCCAAGAAAATCTTTCTCTAATGACTTCAAGACTTTCTATAAGCTATAGTATTCAAGCCAATTTGCTATTGGCATAACGATAGACAATCAGATCAATGATGTAGAATAGAAAATCCGGAAATAGACCCGTGCTTATATTGTAAATTGCTTTTTGAATATTTTCATTAACTTGGGGTAGGCAAAGATTTCTTAGATAGTACACTAAAGTCATTAAGCACAAAAGAAAAAAAGTTGATATATTTGGCTTCATCAAAATTAAAAATTTCTCCTCATTAAAGAAATGATTTAGAAAGTGAAAGACAAACCACAAGTTGGGAGAAAATGTTCGCAATACATAAATCAAACAAAACATTTCTTTCGTAATTTATAACAAACTCCTACACAGCAATAAGTAAAAGACAACCCAAAAATATAAATGGGCCAAGACTTGAAGAGATACTTCACAAATGAAGATATATGAATTGCCAATAAGCATATAAAAATGTGCTCAACATCATTACTTATTAAAGAAATACAAATTAAAACTATTTGAGATACCACATCACACACACTGGAATGGCTAAATTTAAAAGGCTATTCCTAATAGACTTTGAAAGCAGTTTGGCAGGTTCTAAAGTGGATAAACACTCCTACACAATGACCCAGCAATTCTACTCCTAGTTATTTACCCAAGAGAAATGAAAAAAGTCATGCCACAAAGAGACTTGGGCAAGAACAGTGATAGACCCACACAGTGGAATAGCCTCGACAATAGAAAGAAAGAAACTACTACTCATCCAACAACATGGATGATGAGCAAAAGAAGTAAGGCACAAAAGCATACATGATATACTATTCCATATACGAAATCCAATAACAATCCAAGTGAACATACGGTGATAGACAGGACAGCAATGTTTGCCTTTGAGAGGCTGCCTGGCTCCAGGTAGCCACCTTATGGGTTGAGAGGTAGAAGATGCACTGTTCTGTTCTTCGTTTTACAAATAACACATTAGTTTTCAGGATCCTGACTCCCTTATTATCCCCCCTGCCTCTTCAGCATTCCACAGGGCACACTGGTTGCTTCCTGACTCCTGGGAGCATCATTTACCTACAATAGCAATTAGAGTTCCTTTTTTGTCTTATAGGTTTGGGTTGAAATCTCTCATCTGCTCACTGCCCCTGCCATTCTCTTTGTTATTGTGAACCCAGTTCCTTTTTTAGTATTTTAGTGGGCTTTTAATAAAAGAAAAGACAAACACTTCTTTGCAGTCTGCAAAATTTAACCAGAAACTTTTTTGAAAAATAAAATTCAACACAATAGCGTGACATTATTATTCCCTGATGCGTGTTGGGTACTGAGAAGTGCCAGTAATTCTCGTCTAATTTGACAAAGAAATCTTCTGAGTCTTCATAATATTCAGGGACACAAGATGTTGGTTAAAACACTAATATCAGAGCAATAAAATGATCAACTATGAACCAGAAATACAGACTCTGGTTTAAAATTACTTTCACAGGAAAGAGCAGCAATTTCTGAAATTCAGATGCCTAAAAAGATTCACTATATATGACAATAGCACAGACAGATTTATATTAACAGAAAGCAGAAGTCCCAGGAGAAATAATTGATATTACTGCGAAATTCTCCATTTGTACCATAGCATATCATTATCAAACCACATCTTATCATTTATGAACTAGTTTTATTATCCAAGATGGTATTTCTCTTAAGAGCTGTAGATCAGAGAAGGGACACCTTGTCTTTCTCTTTCTGAGATATTTTCTCTGAGTTGTTAATTAAGGTGCATTTTCAAGGTTGGATTCTACTATTATTCCATTATTTTTTATTGTTCTGTGGATGACTTGTTTACTCCATCTCAATTTTATACAAATTTTAAAAAATTTTAATTAACAAAATATTACAGATATGTATAAGAGAACATATCTTTACAATGGCTTTGACTGGGAAGGCTGACTTTTTCACTCCTGTGTATAAATCTTTCTTAACCTCTATACTTTCTTCTATTATATCTCCATTTATTGCTTCAGTTCCATTTATTCTAGTCCCTCCTCAGGACTACTTACTTCATATATGTTGGTTCTTCATATATAAAATCCTATGGATGAAATAGCCTTCAAATATAAAATGTTTCCTATATAAAGTCCTATATCCTTCATACATAAAATCCTATGGCCTCCACAAGCATCTCGAAGTCTTGATGACTATTTTCTCATGGTGTCTTTTCTCCCCAGCATATCCACAGAAGACAAGAACGCACAAGACAGGCTGTTCTATGAGACTGTATTCAGGCACTTCAAAAGACATAAGGTGGAGATTTCAAGTGCAATTAAAAAAGCATACCCTTTCTTTGAGGGCCTCCGCGACCGTGAACTCATTACCAATAAAATGTATGAAGTAAGTAAATTTGTCATGTCCCAATCTGGTTAACCAGCCCCAGACTAAGTTATGCTTTGATATCCTGGACCCAAACATCAGGGCACAGCTTTCCAACTGAGGAGCCTCCTATGACTGGGGGACCTTTTCAATTATTGCTGTAAGTGTTCGTGTATGTACAAAGGGAAAGGAGAAGCAGGCATCACCAGAGACAGTCCTGCTTCTGAAGGAATGGTGCTCCATGGTGCCCACTGGAGTTGGGGTGAATAGCAGTGGAGATTGGCTGGATCTGAAGCAGGTGTGTTCCATAGACGTATAATGCCTTGCAGGAATGCACACAATATAGCATAAGAATTAAAAGTAGTTTTAATTGATTAATAAATTTAATGAATTGATTTAATGAAACAATAATTGATACAGCATTTCATTTCAATGAACTTCGGTTTAAATGCTTTGACCTGAGAACATTAAAGCACACGCAGAATTGATGTCTTCTTAGGACAAATTTGAAAATGGATACTTGCTATATTTTGCCCAACAGTTTTCAGTTTTCTTCTCCTTTCTTTTCTTTTTTATCTTTTTGGTATTTCTGGAGTCTAGGAATTTGGGTTATTTTAGCAATAGGTGTTGCTGGATATACGGAGATGCAAGTCTTCCCTTTGCGCTGTGAATATGCTTTTTCTGTGGTCAAGTTCACAAAGAGGAGAACTGTCACCTGGCTTCCTGAGTTCTTCCACGCCAAGTCAGTTCAGAGCTTGTCCAATCAACAAAACAACTGCTCATCACCTGCTAAGTCTATTCCTAGAACATATGACCAAGTTCTTAAAGGGCCATGCAACATTTAACTTTGAACCCAGTTTTATTCTTCAAAATTGCTTCTTCTTACATCTAATGTAAATGAGCGTGAGAAGATCTTATTCACAAATGGGTATTTTTAAGGAGGAAGGATTTACTAGTTTCACTTAGTAGCCATACAAATATATAGAAATCCTAAAACTTTCCCTGAGAAGATACCTAGGTAGAGAAATTGGAGTACATTACCCATAAATTCACTTTCAAGGGCTCTTCTATAACTTGGAAGTCTGTATTTATATTTTCTCCATTCAATATTTTTTTAAGGATGCTCAGGATTCTTGTAGAAACCTGGTCCCTATACAAAGAGTGGTGTACCATGTGCTCAGTGAACTGGAGAAGACTTTTGATGTGCCGCTTCTGGAAGCCTTGTTCAGCGAGGTCAACATGCAGGAGTACCCCGATTTGCAGTACATTTATAAAAGCTTCGAAAAGGGTAATTGGGTTTATTACTGACCTTTTGATGTCCAGGACAAATTTTTTTTTTGATAAATATATATTGAGCTCCTACCATGTGCCACACATGGTGCTGGGCAGTGGGGATATAGCAGTTTAAAAACACACATATCATGAGCCTTCTCAAAGCTTATGGTATAGTAACTATGGCACACAACACCCACCTAGAGATCTGCTTAACTAGGTATTTTTAGACTCACAGGATGGCCAGAGCCACATGGGATCATATTTACTTAGAAGGACAAATGACAGGGAACACAGCATCCCGATAGGGCGGCATCATTTGCTCCTCTTCTGTGATACCCCTTGCAGTAGTCCACACAGCAGTCTACCTGGTTCACTACTGCCCATCTCAAGTGACAGCTTACTGGTAAATGCAGGATCCACATTGATTTAGTAGCACCATGACCATGGGGGTCGATATCTCATGTAACAACTCCATAATCGTAACATTCAGGTACCCCATGATGGACAAGCTGAGTTTCAAGAGTCACCACAATGAAGGAAGACCAAAGTATGACTTATAGTCCATAGATGAACACCCTCCCGTACCCCCATCTACATGCAATCTACTATTTATGGCTCATTTTTAACCCTAAACCCAGTGTTGGCCTAGTAACACAGAAGAAAGGCCACCTTCATCAGGTTGCCAGAGTAAGAAAGTTAATCCAACATGAAATTTGCTCTTAAAAAAGCAGAAATGGTTTTATTAACTCTTTCTCCACAAGGAGTGAAGCAAACATTACTCAAATAATCACAAAACCTCTTGTTCTGCCCAGGACTATTTTTGATGCTATACAAAACTAAAGGTTTGACTCTTGAATTTTTCCCGAGAAGGCATGATTTATACTTGTTTAACGGAACACAGTTAAGAGAATGCTCTACTACGTAGACAGAGAGAGAGAGAGAGGCACTTGCCTAGAAAACTTTTTATTCCAACACAGTTTGGGCTCAGTGGAGTTCTCCAGATAAGATAAGAAAAACGGTCACATGTCCTGAGGAGGGTGGATGCTATGGATCAGGCATGGATTGTGAAAGAGTCTAATGTGTTTTCAAAACAAGGACAAATTCCATTTGGTTCAGTCAGAGAGTGAGAAGCAGACTGTGGGAGCTGATTCAAGAGAGAGAAGTTTGAAGAAGATTTTGCAAAGTCTAGCATATAAAGCTAAGCAATTTGAAGTTTATTACTAGGCAATAAAGAGACGCTAACAGGTTTATAAGAAAGGGGAAAAAAGTAAGCATAAAGCTTATGTCTTGTTGATTCATGTCAATAGCAATCTTATCTAATTAAAAACAAAATTTCTGGGCCAGCCCCATGGCTGAGTGGTTAAGTTGCGTGCTCTGCTGCAGCGGCCCAGGCTTTCACTGGTTCGGATCCTGGGTACAGACAAGGCACCACTCATCAAGCCACGTTGAGGCGGCGTCCCACATGCCACAACTAGAAGGACCCACAACTAAAATATACAACTATGTACTGGGGGGATTTGGGGAGAAAAAACATAAAGAAAAGAAAATAGATTGGCAACAGTTGTTAGCTCAGGTGCCAATCTTTAAAGAAAAAAATTAATTAATTAAAAAATTTTGAAAAATTTTAAAAATTAAAAAAAATATAAAAACAAAATTTCTACAGCAAGTCATTCAACTCAAAAAAGGAATAAAGGAAGTCAAATACCTAGTCACAAATTTCACGTCAATATTACTTTTGTAATCCAGATGTCCCCAGGCCTTGGGTACGAAGGGAATGGCAGTTACCTTTACTGCCCACATCTCAGGAGCTCTGATCCTCTCCATGGACTGCCAGGACGCCCCTCCCCGGGCCCAGTATCCACATCACACATGTTAGTTTCTGGGGCTCCTCATGCTGAGATTACCTGCACCAACACTTGCTGCCACCCACCTGCCCCTAGGGGAGATGGCAGTGGCTGACTCCGGGACCCTGTTGTCCATGGGACATGTAGGTCAAGAGCCCAAAGCCAGGAGATTGGGGAGTTTAGCCCAGGGTGGGACACCTTCTCCTGCTGACTGGCCCCCACCTTCATCCAGTGCAAAGAAGCCCTCCACTACCACGCCAACCCCAACCCCTCATAGGAAAACCTGTGCAGAGGACTCCTCCACCTTTCTGGTTTGTGCCCTTTGTTCTCCTCATATCTTCTACCTGATTTTGCCAGTATTTGAAGATGTGTCCTGGGATGACAAAGCATCTGTGGTCCCCACAGTCCTGTCCATCTCACCTCCTGCAGGCATTGTCCCAGGAGGAGCTCCTGTCATCAGCCCTGGGGCAGCACAGGCCCCATCACCTCCCATGGCATCTCCTCCTCCCTGGACTCCTCACAGAGACACTCCCCTGTGCTTCTTAGTTTATTTGCTCCCTCCTACGTTTTCTGGGTCATCCACATGCAGGGGCCCTGGTCTGGTGTCCTAGGCCCCCTCGTTGGCAGCCTCCCGGGCCCCTGATCCACACTCTTGGGGACGTCTTCCAGCACTGCGATATACACTCTCTGCTTGTAGCTTCAGAGAGTCTTTACTTTGTTCCTGGGATCTTTCCCCCATGGAAGCTCTGTCTAGTTCCTCCCTGTGTCTTCTGGCTTGTCACTTTGAGAACCATTCATAGTCCCGGACTCAAGTAAGCCAAACCCTCCTCTTCTCTAGCTGTTTCTTTCAGGCTGGTGGACTTTCCCTATTATACACACGGATCTCTCTAGGATCTTAACTCTTTTTCCAAGGAAACCCCTCTGTTTCTCCCTTACAGCTTGAACAGTTCAGAAAACATATTTCAATTCTACCGTTTATTTTGATGTATGCTTTCCTGGCTAGCTGAAGTTTTTTTTTTTTACACGAGCAACAGGCACATAATGTTTCCAAAACTCCTTCATCCCCACGTTTGAGTGGGAAACATAAAGGCTCCCTTGCTGGGGGTTCTCTTCTGTTTCAGAGAAGATGAGGGGTATTTTACCATGAGGATCTGAGCTCTGAGTGACCCGAGGTTTGGAAATTCCTAACCGTGTAATTTTGCGATGTTGTCTCTGGTTTCTGATGGAGATCTCTAATTGCCTTCTTCTCTCTCACCTTCTCTTCAGCAGTCCAAGAGAAAAGGTATCTCCAGGAAAGGGAAGGAGAACAGATGGAGGAGAGGCCTAATATCCAGCTAAGACTTGAACAAGGTGATTGCGACCTGATAAACACCCATTCTCATCTGCTATGAGGAAAGGAGAAAGGGAGATGGGGGCTGAGCCCTGAGTGGACACTGTGAATCAGGGAGATATTGAAGGAGCATGGAGAAGACGGGAGGGTGTTTGCATGAGTGTCTGACCTGAAGCCAAATCCTGGAGGAAGATCTCTGACAAGAGACTGTTGGTCCAATGACTAAGACAAAGGAAGAGGAACCCAGTGTGTCAGTAAACCAGATTTAAAGAAAATGACTACCTGGAAGTAATTTCAATTTAGAGAGTCCCCTGTAGGAGAAGATCAATGTGAAGCTGTGAAGGGCTAGAACTATGGGCCAAAGTTAGCATCAAACAAGAGACCTTTGATGATGGCAGAAGAAGGGACTGACTTAAATGTGGGAGACGTTGTTCAAGAGCAGGAATATTCAAGGAGAAAGGCAGTCATATAGAGACAAGAGAGAAAGTAGTCAAGATGTGGAGAAGAGGATGTGGGCACTTTGAGAGAAAGAAAGAGGAGGAAGGAGGGGAAATGACAGAGGAGAAAGGGGTAAAGGACACAATAAAAACAACCATATTATTCACATCTCAGTTGACTGAGCATTTACTCTGGCACTTGTGGGTTCAGTGCTCATGGCTGCCATTGGAGGGTAGTATCACTTATGTGCCCATTATGCAGATAAGGAAGCTGAAGTCTGGAGACCATGTATGTAGTTGGGCTGGGGTCAAATGAGCAAGGATGAACCCAGGAATTCTGAACCCAGAGCCCATGTTCTTAACCCTGTACACTACCCAGATAATCTAACGGAAAAGACAGAAACATGAAACAAAAATAAAGAAATATATGCAGAGAGAAAGAGAGAAAAAGAATACTGGGAGCTGGAGGAAGTAGAGGAGAATCAGACACTGAATCCCCATGGAAAGGCCAACAAGACAGAGTGAACAGATGTGTAGAGGGAGAGTGTGGAGTAAGAGGGGATGAGGACAAGGCACCCAGACTTTGTAGGAACTGAGGTAAGGCTACCAGTCAGGGACAGCTCTGGGGACAAAGGCAGGTTCACTATGACTGTGGTTGACAAGAAAAGCCATCAGCAGTTACCCAAGTGCCTCATGGAGGACACACAGTGAGATGACCTGGTGGAGCCCTCTCAACCAGGGGTGCAGCTGACCCCAGATCCGACTCTAGAGGGATGGATTTGGGCTGTAAGAGTTGAGTGGGATCTGCCAGGTCAGATGGTCTCTGTATTGATTGATAGGCTCTGTACTGATCTCATTGACCCCTGGAGGGGGTCTCCAACTCCCTTTATAAAAAAGGGATTTTGTAGAAAAAGGGATTAGGGGAGAATGGCACAGCCCATACTCCAATTACTGAAATAAACTTCTAATTTCTTCCCCCTAGGAACTGGCGAAAACTCGCGAAGCCCATCCTGGTCAGGTGAAGAATCCTCGTCTTATCACGGTCTGTTTGTGTTGACTGTTCTGTGATCCTTTGCTGTTCTTGATGCATTCTGGGATGTGCTGTGGTGGGGCCTGCTTCTGTGTATCACAGATTGCCCAGAATTGTCAGTCTTTGCCTCTGCAGTTTCTCCAAGGACTTAGATAACAGTCTTCCTACTCTGGGTTGCCTGGGAGGGTCGCTCCTCCCATCCTCCTCAAACACTCTTGCTGTCAGCTCCTGACAGCTCTGGATATTTTGCCCATGTGACTGGCTTCACAGTTTTCTGCCTCTGTATTGCTTGAATCTGATCACTGCTTTGGTGCTTTGAGATCATGTCCAGTGGTGGCCACTGCTGTGGCGAGAGTGGTAGGGGGAGGGGGAGATGAGTGTTCCTCTTGCAACAGGGTACCTCACAGGTTGGTTCCCTCACACAGCACAATGGACACCAAGTGCCTCCTGTGCAAACCCTCTCCCATCATCCCCGGGGCAATGGGCCAGGAGCTGCCCTCCAAACACTAGATGGGTCTCTGCTAAAATCCTTTGGTACTTTAGCAACTAATAATCACTGTTTACAACTCTTGACTCCCCTTAATCCATGGCACTCTTAATAACGTTACTAAATATTTTAAATATTATAAATTTAAGGCATTGATCATAATGACTTAATTTTCTGATCAGTCACAGTATCCCATATAATGACACAGGTAATATTTTATTTAATCTTCTCAAACACCTTAAAATACTGTTATAGCATCTCCATTTTTCAGACAGGAAAGAATCAGCTTAGAGAATTTGGTTGTGCAAATTCACTTAACTGAGAGTTGGGATTGAAGTCTGCTGTAAGGTAGTGTCAGAGCAAGGGGTCTGGATGCCCACAACCTGACTTCAAATTCTCCCTGTGCTCTTGGGGAAGTTACTTCCCCTCTTTGTCCTTCAGTTTCATCATCTATAAAATGCATGAGATAATAGTACCTGCTTCACAGGGTGATGGATTTTAAACTAGTTTTGTCATGTAAAGTATTCACAATCATGCCTGGTTCTTCATCAGTGTTCCATGCATTTGTTACTATTACTACATTTAATTATCATCATAATTTGTATCTGGCACCAGAGTCTAAACTTTTAACCATTACAGTAAACTTTGGGATTGTCTTCTCTCACAGATATCCATTGTGGATTTAATTATTCCCCAGGCTGTAGAAGCAGTGATAAAAGTAATACCAACCTCTGGCCCATGAAGGTCAACTGAGGGCCACGATTTGCCTGCCCTTAGAATGCACTAGTCTATAGTGAATTTCACGTCTTTATTCCATGACTCTCCTTTGGAAATGAGTAGTGTAGAAGAGTCTCAAGGAATTCTTGCACCATGAAAAACCCTTATTATGTAGCTTCCAGTTGGGATGTGTTATTTAAGAAAGGATGTTCTAATTAACAAAACATTTTTATAGGGCCAGCCCTGATGACCTAGTGGTAAAAGTTTGGCACGCTCCACTTTGGCAGCCCAGGTTCGGGTCCCAGGAGCAGAACCACACCATTTGTCTGTCAGTAGCCATGCTGTAGCAGTGGCTCATGTAGAAGAGCTAGAAGGACTTATAGCTAGACTATACAACTATGTCCTGGGGCTTTGGGGAGGCAAAAAAAGCACAGGAAGATTGGCAACAGATATTAGCTCAGGGCAAATCTTTCCCATCAAAAAAATAATAGTATATTTTATAAAAGAAAAAATCAGTGATTTTTGAAAGCATAGTTATAATTTTAGCAAATCGTGTCTATTCAGAAAGTTACTTAAAAATATAAAAAACAACAAGCATTAATCCAAATTCTTAGCTGTTCATCTACGAGTGCAGCTGGTGAGAACAGGAGAAGGTGAGTGGATGGAATTGTGACTAGTAATGAGCAGAAGAGAAGGGATACAGGGTGTGTGTATAGGGCATGAGGGGAGGAAGCAATGAGTTATAACTCACAATGTGGTCTGGGTGCAACCCTGCTTGGAAATGGAATCTGAGAGCATCTCAGTGATGGGGAGCAATGAAAATAAAGAGAGAAGTTTCAGCCTACAACCCAAATGATGCGCAATAAGTGTGTCCAAGAGTCTGACCCAGAAGGGACAGCTGGCTGTGACATGCACAGGTGAGGACGGGGCTGTGTCTTGTGCCCACCATGCCAAGAGGAGGCTCCAAGGAGCTGTAAATGGGGCAGAAAATATGCACCAGGGCCCATGTTCTATAATAAAATTTTGGGAATTATTTTTAAATCATACTTTACATAAATTACTATGTTTAGAAAAATGGCACGAAATGAAAACACCCCACAGTGCACTGAAAAATATATTTAGCCATTCGTACTCTATTGAGGTTGGTGAGAATACAGTGGGATGGGTTGATGGAACCCACAAAGAGCAGAGGAGGCTCACCCTGTGGGAAGGAGTGTGTGCTTGTCCTGGGTTGTTTCCAAAGAGTTCATTCCTTACCCACCCTTGTTCCACTCTGCCTTCCGTTTCTGGCCACTAACCCCTGCAGACTTGCTTGCCAGCTTCCTCAATGCTGGCTTCCTAATATGGGAGACAGTAGGAAGAGGTTGGAGAGTGAAATCAAGGGAGAAGCCCTCGCCCCATCACTAACTCTGGCACAATTCTGACAGTGACTTCATCTCACCCATGACTATCTCCCATCAAGCAGGCCAGCCATGGTCCAGCTTCTACCCACACAATGACTCTGGTCACTAGGCTCACTCTTGGTCCCTCTTATAGCTTCCTGTTGACAATTCTTCTGGTTGCTCTGTTCCTTTATTTGAACTTCTCAGCTCTCCCATCAACTGTGTAACCAGTACCCTGGATTAAATTTCCTCTGCTTTATAAGCTTAGAGTGATTTGTATTTTCTTGTTGGACTCTGATTGATGCAGGGGGCAAATAAAATATCTATGAATCAAAATGTGGTTTAGGTACAGCCCCACCTGAAAATGGACTCTCAGAGCACCTCCGTGAAACAGAACAGATAAATACAAACAGAAAAGATACCACAAGTGACAAAAATAATGAACTAGAAAGCCATCAAGCAAATGAACAATGTGCCCGAGAGTCTGAGCCAGCAGGTAGGACTGACTGACTGGGTTTGCATGAGTGTGGAGGGGCCAAGGAGTCCTTGCTGGTGACAGAGAATGGAGTAATGCATGACTCAAGGAGGCATCTATTAACAAAGAAGGGGAAAATCACACAGACACATAGAGGACAGGAATGGAGCCTGATACATTGATGGGAGAGACCTGGAGGAAGAAAGTCAGAAAGGAAGAACTAGGAGACAAGGGGAAAGAGTTGCAGTGACTCGTTAGGGAGGAAAGACAGAAAGAAAAGTCCAAAGATATCAGGGAGAGATTGGTTGCGGAACCATGGAGCACCAACACTTTCATGGGGTGAAGTTGGCAATATTTGCACAAGCTGTAAGTGGAAATGTGAGAAGGAAAGTGAAGCTGAGTGAGGTGTAGCAAAATGGAAATAAGGCAGAGCAAGGCTTTGTCGGATCTCAGCTGTGGTCTTTTTTGTCTTCAGAGTCCTGTGAACAAGCACCTATCCAAGAGAATAATGGAGATGCAAGAAGGGAAACACCCAGCCCAGCGTCCTGTGATGAAGAAAGTAATTATTACTTACGTTACCAATTTTTTAAATTATTTCTTCATTTTTCTGTGACAGCAAAAGCTTTCCTTTGTTCTCCCATACTACACCTTGCCTCCACCCCAGCCCTAACACCTCCCAAGATCCACAACCTTGTGTGTAGCCTCTGGCTGCTTTTAACAGGCATGAAGTGCAAAGGGGAAAGAGAGCTGAGCTCTTTAATGGAGGGGCTGTCCCTAGGGAGAGAACGTAAAGAGAGAGAATATGGGAAAGGTAGACTAGGGACACCAAATAACAAAGTACACTAGTGAGATAGGTTTCAGATAAATTGACATGGAATCTAAACAGTGCCATGTTATGGAGTTGGGGAAAAGAAGTAAGTTGCAACTTGCTTTTCAGAAGTTATAAGAGAAACATGGAAATCATGCATGATGCTCCTGGTCAGACTTGCAAGTAAGGAAGCCCAGACGAAGGACCTTTAGAAAAGAAGTGGGAGGTGGAGGGACTCAGTATGGTGGACAAAGGCACAGAGGGAGAACTTTGGTGATGATGGGAATGCTTGAGATAAGGAAAATGTATAGAAAGACAAAAATTGATTCAGAAGAAGCATACAGAAGGTCACATTAACAATTAAGAAACAGAGAATAGGAGAAAGTAGAAAATGTAACAGAGAATGGATAAACCAAAAAATCAGGCAGAGGACAGCAGGGCCAGGTGTAGCATGAGATAGGGAAGCCCGAGGGCACATGTAAGGAGGATCTCACTCTCTGCACCTTCTTGTACCCTAAACCCTGCTGGACACTGGGGGACAGTGATTTAAAAAAAAATGTAGAGTAAAAGAGTGTGAATAGAGAAAGATACAGAGGGAAATGAATATGAACAAATAGAAAAAAACGGGAGGAGTCACAAAGAGAACTACGTAGAGAATGGGATAACAGGTAATGAATGAAAAATCAGTAGAGAGTGGACCAAGTAAAGAGAGAGAAGACGAATCAGGACATTGTTCAATTTAAGGAGACAGTCATGGGAAAGAAGGCACAAGAGGCTGTTCCTACTATGATTGACAAGGGTAACATGTCTGCAATGATCAAAATGGCTCTGTAACCCTCTCAGATAAAAATAAGTCTCTCCCCAGGTGTCTCATCTTCTCCATGGCTTCAGCCACCATCGATAATCTATTAATTCCTAAACACACATCTCCAGCCCAGACTTGTCCTCTAGACTCATTCCTCCAAGTGCCTGAAAATCTTTATTCAAAGATCTGAAAGACATCTCTATTTGGAAGTTGCATCAGTTATCTATTGCCGTGTAACAAACAGTCCCATAATTTAGTGAATGAAAACAACCACAACTTTGTTTGCCACTTCTGTGAATTCCAACTTTAAAATATCTCCAACCTGTCCATTTCTCTTCATCCCCCTCATGCTCTCTGATCCAGCTCCCTATCACTTCTCACTTCAGATAGAGGAACAATCCCCTGCAGGGCTCCTCCATCCTATCTTGCTCCTGGTTCGAGTATTGAAGGACACCTACCATGCAGTTGCATATTCCACCATCACTTGCCTCTCACTCCCTCACACTACATTCCCATCACACCAAACTCCTTTTAGTTACTTGAATTTGCCAAGCTCTCTCAATTGTATTTCTGCCTTTACACGTGCTTTTACAAAGCAGTTTGATATAATCTTCCAAAGTTGAAAATACATATAGCCTATGACTTGAGAATTACATCACTCAGCAGAAACCAACAGAAATGCATGCTATGTTGAAAAAAACACATAGGAAAGCAGCATTATTCATAATAGCCAAAAGCTTGAAACAGCACAAATAGATTTTTTATGGTTTTATTTTTTTAATCGTCCATTTCTACAATGAAATACCGTACAGCAGTGAAAATAAATATACAAAATGGTTACAAATAACTTTAATAAACATAATGTTGAGAAAGGAAGCCAAATTCCCCCCAAATGACAAAGAGACAGAGAGAGAGCAAATAAGAGAAGGGGGCATGATTCCATTTATACAAATTTATATACATTTCAGAATAAGCCAAATTAATCGCTGATGGTATCAAAAATCAAGGTGGTGGTTTACTTGAGCTAGGTGGTGGAGAAAGTTCGTGGAAAGCATCATTAAGAAGCTTCCGGGGTGTTAGTAATTTTGACCAAAGTGATGGTTACCCAGGTATGCTTCCTTTGTGATAATTCATAATTTACGATTTACCCGTTTTTATCTATGTGTGTTATACTGCAAATAAAACTTTTATTTTTTGAAAAGCAAAAAATTATTCATAAAAGGACGAGAAGAGTAAGTAAAAACAAGCAAAAAAAACCCGGAATTAAGTAAAGCGCAAAGGAAGGAACAGAATTGAGCAGCAAGAAAAGAGAAGGGAGAAAGGGTTAGCTTCACCCCTGCAGTGGAATTACAGGGAGAAGGACTTATTAATGGTAACGAAGGGTGATTATTCCTTTTTGGGGAGACAAGTGAAAATTCTTTGTTCATTACCGTTTGGTCCAGCAGCACAGCTACTCAGCCATGGAATCCAACTGAATTCCTGTTCTGTACATCTGGTGGATATAAAGAAGGAAATTTTTAACCCAGGAGATGAAAGGCAATCCCAAACAAGGGCTAACTCTAACCAGGCATCTGATGTAATAGGTAAGGCTGACTAAAAGAATGCGTAATGTGAATCACAGGTACCAGGCAAGGGGCTGGAACACGTTATCAAAGTCCAGGGTCCTTCAAAGTAGTCCCGGTGGCCTTGCACAGAGGCAGGAAGGGGAGGAAACCAGCACCTTATGCAGTGAGCTCAGCACAAGAGAGTCCCCAGGAATTGGAAAAATACCAAAAGACAGAAATGGTAGGTTTAAGTATTGATGTCTGAGAGACTATTTCTAAAGCAAGAGAGGAAAGTATGGTGGTAGGAGATAAAGAAGAGGGAAAAAATTGGGGAAACAAAATATTCGTGAGAGGAGATGGAGAAAGAAATGAAGACAAAGAAAGCTATAAAGAGATACCACCACCAGAGAGACTTAAGTAGAGGAAATGGGCCGGGCCAAGGGGACAGCGAAGAAAGAAAGGAAGGAAGGAAGGAAGGAAGGAAGAAAGAAGGAAGGAAGGAAAGAAGGAAAGAAGGAAGGAAGGAAAGAAGGAAGGAAGGAAGGAAAGAGAGAGAGAGTGAGAGAGAGGGAGGGAGGGAGGAAGGCAGAGAGGGAGGGAGGGAGGAAGGAAGGGAGGGAGGAAGGAAGGGAGGGAGGAAGGAAGAAAGAAAGAGGTAAACTGAGTGTGAGGGTAAGAGGTAGAATGAGGGTGGAGGTAGGAAGGAGAATGAGGGTGAAGGTAGGAGGGAGAACAAAGATGGGGGTAAGATGTTGAGTGAGGGTGAAGGTAAGAGGTAGCATGATGGTTGGGGTAGGAAGAGTCTCAGGGTGGTCAAAGCTGCCCTCTGTGCATGAATTTTATCACCTTTTGTGTAGGACCTGGAGCAACCTGCAGGCCACACACATTCAAGCACAGACCAGGGGGCCTTGAGTTAAATTAGCTTCTAGGTCTTCCTAGTGCTCTCATAATGGGGTTTCCTGCTGCGTGGGCTCCTTGGCCCCATCCTGAAACCCTAAGGGGTTTTGCTCCTCTGTGCAGTGATCAGCAGTGACGACTCTGCAGAATCCAGCGATGGAGATGAGTTCTCAGAAGCTTCAACCTGGATACTGAAAAGTTGCCCTGGTAAGGAAGCGGGAGGGCAAGGCTTGGGCTGCAGGAACCTGAATGAAGAGCTACTGGTTCTGAGGCGTCTTATTCTGAACCCATTTTGTATGATGGATCCAGTTTCTCCTGTAATCCCACTCTCAGCATTTATTTTACTTAACCTTTTTGGGATGTGCAAGGAGATAAGAAACTATTATATTTTCTTTTTGAAGAGAAGACGCATTAATGATGGCTTCTATTAATCAATATATGCACCCATATGTTGACTATATAGTAGAAATAGGATAGCAAAATAGTGAGCTTGGGTTTTTTTTTTGTTTTTATTTATTTATTTTTATCTTTATTTTTATTTTTGAGGAAGATCAGCCCTGAGCTAACTGCTACCTATCCTCCTCTTTTTGCTGAGGAAGACTGGCCCTAAGCTAACATCCCTGCCCATCTTCCTCTGCTTTATGTGTGGGATGCCTACCACAGCATGGCTTGACAAGCGGTGCCATGTCTGCACCCAGGATCCAAACTGGCGAACGCCGGGCCACAGAGAAGCGGAACATGCGAACTTAAGCACTGCGCCACCAGGCCGGCCCCATGAGCTTGTTTTTAAAACTGGTTTCTATGTTTATAGCATTGGATTTATACAGTGATTTCTATAGGGAACAGAAACTTAAATATTCCTTTATTGGAAGGTCATATTCTTATATTGTCATAAGATAACTCATCCAGCTATCTAGTGTTAGCCGTAAAAAGACTTCAGATAAAGTATTGTCTTTTTCCTTCTTCTCCCCAAAGCCCCCCAGTCCATAATTGTATATTCTAGTGGTAGGTCCTTCTGGTTGGGCTGAAGTATTGTTTTTCACAGAAAGTATTGTTTCTGACATAGTTCTTCAGCAAGTTGTGTCATAATAGTGATATTTCAAGGCACCTTTGCAAATAATATCTTACTTTTTCCTTTGCAACAACCTTAAGGGGTAAGCAGGATGTACATTGTTATTCTTGTTTTCTTGATGAGAAAACACAATCACATAAATGTTTCAAGGTCTTCCAAAAAGTCTCATAGACAATTAAAGGGAAAGACAAGACGAGTGTCCTGCATTCTGCCTTATTTCTTTTGTAAAATTGGAGGTGGAAATGACTATCAAAATGTTGTGTTTCCTCAATCTTATGGGTACCATGAGTTGTCATAAGATTTGTAGCTCTTTAGTGTACAAATCGGTGATTTGTTTTCCCTTTCTACTTTCTAGACCCAGAGGATATAAGAAACCTGCCTATTTGGGGGAAAATACTAGGAAAAGACCTAAGAACAAATAAAAATGTTACCTGATCTTGATGTTACAAAAGAACAATATTTTAAATAATATGTTCACTCTAATTGCTCGGTAGATCTGTCAAAGTAAAATGTAAGCCTGCTTCAGTTTTTAGAGTGCACATTCTAACTTTTGTCTTAGTGTAGGCAAACTGCTCTAAAAAGTAGTCCCAAAATATGTCTATGGCTCAAACACAAGAGAATATTGTTTCTCAGCCTTGCAAACAGTTCAAGGAGACACCAGATTGGCAGGAGGTAAATGAGGCTCTTCCATCTTTGACACAGGAGTTTTAAGATCTCCTGGCATGAGAAACAGCAGAAGCGAAGGAAGTGTGATATGACAAGTAGAAGGAATAAGAAATAGAAGAGAGTGAAATGTAGGAAGGTAAGGTTCCAACAGAGTAACGTTGCCCCTTGCTGTGGGGACAAGAAATGGAGCATCACTAACCTACAGGACAGATGACTTAGAAAGGCAGATCAGAGTGGCCTGAGCACAGGCCACGATTTCCATTGGTTTTCAAGATTTTTCCAAGTTTCCTTAGTGGGGAATTTCCTGCTGTATCAGGTCCTCGGTCACACACTGAGACCCTTAAGGATTCCTATTATTTTGTGCAGTGATCAATAACTTTGACTCATTAGAATCAAGAGAAGGAGGAGAGATCCAAGAAGCCACCTGTTCACGATCTCAGCTTACACCAGGTAAGAATATTAGGTTTGCCACCTTGGACAACAAATAACCGGAATCGAAATCCAGGGTTCTGTTTTCCTGATGAATCTTATTCTGAGCATTCTCCATATGCCTTGGTTCCATTATTTCTAGAATACCAATTTCTGCATTTAACTTCTCTGACCCTATTGAGAAGTGGAAGGAGGAGAGAAGGGTTATAAATGGTTGTTTAACTGCATGGGCCAATATATTGATGGACAGAAAATGTAGCAAAAATATGCTAGTAAAAGGACAGTATCTTTTACTACACTCTATCATGTCTATTAACGCTAAAGTGTTGAAACAATGTGCTTATTCTCTATCAGTATGCTTTATATTCTACTGATCATAGGTAGCACAGTAGTCCTCTATTTGTTGACAATATTGTCATTAGTTCCACACTTAGAAAGTCTTCAAAGAATAATTTGTGCTGCTATTTAATTATTATTGGAAAAATAGTTTGTGATCAACTACTCTTAAACCCAAATTAGTTAAACCATTGGCTTCTACTGTGATTTTTTCACAGGGCTTTTGTAAATAAAGCTTTACTTTGTTTTCACACAAACCTTAAGAGGGAGATATGGTTACCAGGTTATCCTAGCCTTATAGATGAGGAGCTGGAGCCAGTGGTGTGTAAGCGTCATTCACAAATTCACATGGAGAGTAAAAGGGAGAGCAGGGCAAGAACCTGGCATTGTGACCTCTGGCCACCAGAACTAGATTCAGTTGAAGGAAAGAGAAGGAAATGATCATCAAAATGTTGTTGCCATTGCAAGCCCATCTGCCATGTGAGTTGTCGTAGAAATCATAAGACTTTTGCAAACAAATAACTATTTCCTCCATCTTACTTTATAGAGCTCATGGATTTGAGAAAATTACCAACATGCAGAAAAGGCCCTAGGAAAAGATGTAAGAACAAATAAGAGCTCTTCACGGTTGTAAACGGACAGTGTTTTCTACAAAAGATTCATCCTAAGTCTTTGGTATATCCTTCAAAGTAAAATACAAATTTGTTTTAATTTAAGATAGTTTGTATTTTAATTTTTGTATTAGTTAGACTAATGACTGTAACAAGCAAACCCAAAGAAGTCAAAGACTCAAACACAATAAAATTTAAAATTTCTTTCCCAAGTAAACATTCCAAGGAGTTTTAGATGGGGGAGGGGTGGCACTCTGTTTCAAACAGAGTTTGGGAAGCAGCCAAGGGGGAGATCTGCCTTCTTCAAAACCAGGCTTCCAAGGCTGTCCTAGAAACGTTCTTGCCTTGGGTTTTCAGAGCTACTGGGGGTTTTCCTATCTTGGTTCCTTTGTCATATACTGAGACCTTCAAGGGACATTTGCTCCTTCTGCAGTGATGGCATATAAAGACTCTTCAGAGTCCAGAGTGGATGAGGCACCTCTGGGAGCCAGGAGCTCTGTCTGGCGAAGAGATCCCGATGAGGAGGGTAAGGACTGCCATTACCGGGCTCCAGGACATCAGGAGTCTGAGTTCAGAGCTCTTCTTTCCTGGTACATTTTACTCTGAGCTCATTCCACAACCTGGGAGTCCATTCTCTGCATTTATCTCATGTGGCGATTTTGAAAAATGCAAAAAAAGGAATCACTATAAATTCAAGCTTAATAAGATGGCTCTAGTTGAACAGCAGTGCTGTTTTTACTACATGCTGTCAGACACATCCCCCCAATTTTTGGATTATATAGTGATTTCCACCCCTGCCCACTGCCTTTTCTGTAGAGAACAGAGAAAGTGGAATAGTCTGCCATTACTTGATTTTGTCATAAACTTGTTCAAAACTCAAAAGACTCTGGTCATACTCTCTAATTATTGACAGAAAGAAAAGCTTCTGGTTATTAACATCAAATTCAATTTATTACTCTTCACAAATGGTCCCCAACATGACAACGATATTTGAAAATATCTTCACAAATAAGCTATCCTTTTATGCTTACGAAAACCTAAAAGGTAGGCCAGATAACTGTTGTTCTCCTGCATTCCACAGATGGGGAAACTCCCATACATAAGCATTTAAGAATCTTTTACACATCACTTACGGAAAGTTACTGGAAGAGGCAGAACTAACAGCCTGAACTCCTAGCAAACATCCATAATCCTTAATTCAAAACCTTTGAATCCAGATGTGAAATAATAATATTGCGTTGTTTTAAAATACAATGTGCTGTATTTCATATATGTTACAAAACACTCCCAAGAGGGTCTGAGGCAGAATCCCATTCTCAAATATACTATATTAACGTTCCTGCAGCAGATTGTGTGGATTCACCCTCAGTGTGATAAATAAAGATTTTACATGGACTCATGGTAGCACGGGTCCAGATTTGCTGCCAAATTAGTTAGCTGCAAACCTATGAAAAAGTATTGGTTTTCAAAACTGCTTTGATTTTGCAACTGGGGCCAAAGGAATGTGGGCCTTTGCTCCATTTGGTAGCGACCTATTTCCTTTAGATGGGAAGAGACACAAATGATTATCATTGCATCTTTCTAGTCTAAATCCTGTCTACAGCGTGAATAGCCATAAGATTTACAACTCTTTTAGTTATAGATTACTCATTGTGTTTTCCTTTTCTTTCTAGATCCTGCGGATTTTGGAAGCAAATCTATTCTGGGGATAAGTAATACGAAAAGATGTAAGAGCAATTAAAAAATCTTGATGTAACAAATGTCTTTCTTTGCTACAAAGGCTTCATTCAAATTTTTTGTTATACCCTTTAAAATAAGAATATTTAATTTGTTGAAATTATACATTTTTAACTAGGTGGGATGGGCTAATTGATATAACACATAGACCTCAAAAAGTTCAATGATGCGAGTGCAATACAAGTTTATTCTTCATTCGCATAAGTAGGGTAAATTATTTCCCAGGATGGAAGAGTGCTCTGCTCCACGTGATTATTCAGGGCCCAGCTGATAGAGGCCTTGACCTAACATCTTGAAAATGTTGTTTCCACAGTCTTTCTGGATAACATACAGAGCTGCAAGAAGAAGAAGTATGTGCATACAAGCGCAAAGGGTAAGAAGCATAAGAAATGATGACAAAAGAGAGTGTCTTCCATGGCAAACTTTTTCCCAGCCCTTAGGGATGGTTCCTGGAGCAACTTTGACAGATAGGTCAAATGGAACCACAAGGTGGCCTGGTGGTAGGAAGATTCCTACTGGTCCTACATGAGCTTCCATTTCCAATTTTCCTTTTAAAGACTTCCATGCTGGATTGATTCCTAGGACACAGACTGAGACGGTTAAGGAATTTTACTTCTTTCTGCAGGGATCGGCAGTGATGACTTTTCAGAATTGAATAATGGAGAAGAGCCTCAGGAAACTTCTATCTCAGCCCTAAGAAGTGGGTCAGGTAAAGAAGATTAGGATGCCAAGCCTTGGCCTGCAGAATGTTGGGAATCTGATTTAAAAGCTACTGTTTCCAGATGCATTTTATTCTAAGCACCTTGACGACCTTGTATCCAGTTAATCCTGGGAACTCTTTTCCAGCATTTTAGAAAACGGAAGGAGGCAGGAAATTATTATGAACTCATGTTTAATAGGATGAATCCTATTGACTAAATGTATGTAATTATATATCGTCGCTGTAGAAGAAATGAATAGCAAAATGATGATATATATTTTAATGCTTGCTGTCATGCCTACGAACACTAAGATCTTAGATTTCTTTAGTGATATATTGGTTGACATTAATGTTATTTGTAATTGTAAAAGCCTCAAAAGACATTTGGTCCTGCTATGTAATTATAGACAGAAATAAAAGCTTCAGATCAACCACTCTCAAACTTTAGTATAGTTTTTGACAGATGTCCATCCCATTGTAATTGGATTATGTCATGTTATTTTACAGTACTTCAGCAAATAAGAGCTTACTTTGTCATTATAAAATTCTTGATACTTAGGCAGGCTAACTCTTACTATCCCCATCTTGGGATGAGAAAACAGATATACAAATGTATATGGTTAAAGAGAATGACTGTTGTATGTAACAGGCAGGAAGATAAGAGCTGTGCCACAAACATGATCAAAGTCCAAAGAAGAGGTACAAGGGACCTGGCATATTCACAGTGGAATGTATCAGTGCCTGATGCAAGAAAACTTAACACCAATAAATAAATCTATATGTATATATACACATAGACACATTCAAACATTATATATATACATTATTCGATATATAACCACCAATATTGGTGTGAATATTGGAAATATAGATGATAGGTAGATAAAAATAAAAGTCATAAAGAAACAAAGAATATAGGCATGGAGCCAGCTATATGGCATATAAAATACCTAGAAAGACAGAACCAAAAATGATGAACAGAGAAATAAAAAGGAACAGAGATTAAGAGACTCAATGATGAAAAGAGGGAAAGCAACACAGAGGACACAAGAAATCAAGGAGAGAGAAGCTCACAGCAATGGAGAATCAAGTGATGGAGATAGAAATGTGTAAGTCAGGGCAATAGGCAGAAAATTAACAAATAGGGAGGAGAATGAGGTGTGGCTAGATAGGAAAGGACAAAGCAAATCTTTGTTGGATATAAGATAAAGTCATTGGAATAGGTATCGTCTCAGCTCGTCTGAGTGGCAAACATAGATGAGCATGACCACACTGAAGTGTGTTTCCTGATCACAGTCGAAAGTCCGTCCATTTCCATATTGTCCATCAGTGTGTTGTGAGTTCAAAGGTCTTCAAATGAGTAGAGGAAGAGAATCAGAAGAGATGCCATCCTGTTAGAATGTGATGGAGAAGCCAATTATAATACTATCAATTATCTTTGTTTTTTGGTCTGCACAGAGGAAAAGCTCTTCCTTCTTTACCTTAACTCTCCCTCTAGACATTTCATGTACATGCACACACACTTATGTACACATATAGAGACTTGTGCACAGACTCAGGCTGCTTTCAACAGGGTTGAGGGAGCCAAAAGAGAAGAGCTGGGCTCCTAAATAGAGGGAGAGGTCACTGAATGGATAACATAAGGAGAAAGAATGAAAAAGATAGGCTGAGGTCTCCAAATGAAAACCTCTCTGAGTAAGTTTCGAGTTTTTCCAAGTGTATGTGGAATTCAAATATGACCAGATTGAGGAGTTTTGTGGGGGAAGAGAGGTAATTTTCAAGAGGGCTCCCAGAAATTGTACCAGAAACGTGGTAATAAAGTCCATGACTGACTGACAGACCTGCAATATAGAAAACTCCCAGGGAGCTGGCAAATGTAATAGTGGCCAAGAGTGTGGTCAGGGTCAAAAGAGCAGACATTTGGTGGTGATAAAAGTAGTAATCTGTGAGATGAAGCTGAATATAGAGGAAGGAAATATAAAGACCAAGATTGTAATTGTAAAAAAAAAAAAAAAAAAAAAAAAAAGCCAAAGTGTCAGATAAGATTGAGAGAAATGGACTAGAAGGAAAGAAAAAACAGAAAGGGAAGTTACAGTAGAAAGAGGTTTACTTTGATACCAAAACTTGATCTGGGGAGAGAAACATAGGAAATAGATAAGAATGAGATACATACATAGGGTAATAAATGAAGAGGAGTAAAGATGAGGCAGAAAGAGAACTATGTAGAGAAAGAGTTAAAAGATGAGAGAAAATGGTAGAAAGAGGGGACAGTGTAAAAGGAGGAGAAGAGAGAGATGGAGAAATTGTGGGATCTGAAATGATCATAAGACAAAAGCAACATTGGCACAGAAGTGGCTCACGATAGAAGTGAGTTTTCAGGGTAAAGTGTCCCCAGGAATCGAAGTAGAGCCTGTAACTCACCCAGATTACAAGAGACCTCACCCCAGGTGTTTCATCCACTCTTATGCCTTCAATCACCATCCACAACCTAATGCTTCCTAAGCATAGATATCCAACCTAGCCCTGTGTAAATGTCTAAACTCAATCATTCAATTGTCGGGAAAGTCTTTGTCCAAGGTTCTGAAAGTTCTAGTCTTCTCTATTTACGTGGGTCTCTCTCAAGACCTTCAAACTCAACACTTCCAAAAGTGAGCACATATTTTCCTTTAAAACCAGCATCAATTTACCCATTCTTTCAAATTTAAATTCTCAGAGTCATCCATGGCACTGCCATCTCCTCAGTCGATATACCCCATCTGTCACTAACTCCATCAATTCTTTTAAGTGTCTCCAACCTGTCCATTTATCTCTATTCCCATAGCTATCACTCTAACCCATATCTATATCACTTGTTACTTGAACTGGAGCCACAGTCTCCTGTTTGTCTTCCTTCTAACTTCCTCCCACAAGATGTATTCTAAGTGATTTAGTTAAATTGATCTTTCAAAAATGCAAATATGTTCATGCTGCTTCCTACATAAAATGAAATATCCTTTAATTTCCTTTAGGATTAAGTCAGTTACCCTTTGTGTGGTCTCCAAAGCCACCTACTTTGGGACTCCTGCCTCTTTCTCCATCCTCTTCATTGCCCCTTATTCTCTCACTCCATGTTCAGACATGCTAAACTCCTTTTGGTTATTCACATTTGCTGAACCCTGACCTTTGCACAAGCTTCTCCATCCATTTAGTATTATCATCTTGACCTCCTTCCTCCCTAATTTGGCCAACTCCTGCTTCCGTGATACATCCTCAGGGAGAGGTTCCTCATCTCAAACTAGGCTAGTTCTTCTTGCTTTATGCACCCCTATATGATCTGTTATCGTATATCATATTTCAATATGTTCACTCATTTGTGTGTCAATTCCCTGGTTGCTCATAAGACTGACAAGCACCAATGCTTCAGTAATCCTGTGCCCTGCATTATTGTCAGCATCTGACACATAAAAGAAGGAAACTTGCTGAGTGAGTGAAAAAAGTTTTTCACTTTCTATATTCCAACACTGGGAAATTTGTCTGGCAAAAATTAGTTTATTATAGTATTTATACAGAATATTTACAAAAATTATTTTAACAATTGAATTCTATATATATGTACTGCATATACATATAAATGTAATAAATAATATTTCTAGAGAAGAGTAACATCACATAAAGGTGTACTCAAAATATGTAAAAAAAAGTCATCAATGAGTGGATGGAGAAGAATATAAGAAAAAATAGAAAAACAAAAATACAGATTTGGGCTAAAAGAAAAGGATAAAAAAAAAAACAGGTTGAAAGGAAGGGACAGACAATGAAGAGAAAACGATTTCAGAGGTAGAACCATCCTTTGATGTGGGAGTAGAGAAAAAGAGGATCATCGGAAGGGAGGAGGTGCAAATGAAAATTTCTTACAGATCACAACTTAAGAGCAGTGCTACAAGAACCTGGAAATGAGAAATGTTCCTATATCATGTGTTTTTCAAAAGGTGTTCCAGGAAGCCAAGAAGCAAGAACTGAGAATAATCAACCATCTGACATGATGGGTAAGGCTGCCCATGGGCCTTTGGGTGGAGGTGGTTCAGCGGATACAATAGAACCTGCGTATGTCTGTGGTTGGTGTTCAAGGTTCAAAAAGAACATCAGGCAGCCCATCAACAGGGCGTGGGCCAGTTATGAAGATTAAAACTGCAGGGCCTGGGCTGCAGGATGTCAGGTGTCTGAAATCAGAGATCCTGTTTCCTGCTGCATTTCAGTCTGAGCACACTGTGACGAGAAGTGGGTCCAGTCAATGCCGTAATCCCACTTTCTGCATTTGCTTGATCTGATCCTTTTGGGAACTGCAGGCAGACAAGAGATTGTTACAAAGTTGTGTTTAATAGAATGGGCCATCTTGATTACACATGGATGATGTAGAAGAAATACACTGGCAAAAACAGCAGTATCTCATTTACTATATTGGCATATTGATACTAAAGTGCTGGAGTTATATAGTGACTTCTACCTTTACCCGTGGAACAAAGAAATCCAAGTGTTCTTCTGCTGATAGACGATAGTGTCACTCTGTCACTACCTTGGAAAGGGCTCAAAAGACAAATGGTCCTGCTAACTGTCAGGAAAAAAGACCTCTGAGAACTATTCTTAAACTCAACGTTTCGTTTTGAAGGATGCCCTCCAGCACGTTATTGATTTATATAGTGACTTCTCATTAACTCTTGCAAATAAAATCTTACTTCATCTTCATAAAAAAGTTAAAGCCTGAATAGGACAACTGTTGTTATCCTTGTTTCGTAAATGAGGAAAGTGATGCACATATGTAATTAAGAGCTTTTTCAAAGTCTCAGAGAAATAAAGCAAGACCTTAGATAGCACTTCGTTGCCTGTCTAGTTCCTTTAGAATGGAGACAGGGAAATGATACTCAGAACATCATTATAAATTCACGCCTTCCACAATAACATTTGTAATTTTTATTCATAAGTTACGCTTCTCTGACCTCTGCTTATTACTTTCTAGATACCATGGATATTGGAAACAATTCTACTTTGGGAAAACACAGTGGGAAAAGAAGTAAGAGTGATTAAGAATTTACTTGATTTTGATGTTACAATTGAACTATCTTTTAATGCTAAAGTTTATTAGCATTTTCTATACCTTTCATATGACAGAAAATGAATGCCTTTAAAGTAACTATTTTTTTCAAAATGCTCATGTCTTCCTGTTGCTTTTTACTCTGATTTTAAATGTATGTTTCTTATAAATGTTGGTGTATATCTTTCCCCAGTTTTTCATGCATGTATTTATACATTTTGGAATATATTTTTATTTATCTAAATACGGTAATTCTATATATACTTTCCTTTTCTTGCTTTTAAAAATTAATGTATTATATCTAGATGATAAAAGCATTTAACATTTTTAATTGATCTATAAAAAGTCTTATTTAAGGACTGCTTTAACATGGCACCCTTCATTTCTGGTGTGATTGAGCATTTTTAGTTTATTGGTCATTTGTTTTTCTTCATAGAATTTTCTGTCATAGAATGCTGTGTCATTGTTTCCTATTGTGGTATTTGTCTTTTTCTTACTATGCTGAATGAATATAGAAATCCTTATATGATATATATGTTAAATTTTGGTCATATACGTTGTTAATATGTAACCTCATTTGTTGTTTTTCTTATAGGTTTGTTATTAGAATCTTTTGTCTTAGAGACGTTATAAATTTTTACATAGTCAAATTTGTCAGCTTTTGGCTCTCTGGGTCTTGGGTTTCCTATCATTTGCAACAGCCATTTCTAACTGAAGACTTTTTAAATATTTTTCTGTATTTGATTCTAGGGCATTTGAAGTACCTGATCATTTTTAATGTTTACATCCACAATCCCGTGGATTTTGCCTTTTTGTGTGTATGTGAGGTGGAAATTTTAAAGCGATTGCCTACGCTGCTACATTGTGATTTGAATTATCACTTTGATCACACAGTGTCTTTACCTGTCTATATACTGGTTTTTCTTTTGTAATCGAAGGAGCTACAGAAAAGAAAGTGGAGCTCAGAATCTGCTCAGGAAGCTTCCTCCCACCTCCTTCCCAAGTTCATTGGAAGCTGTGATTAGAAATGCATTGAATTTGCAGATTCATTTGAGGAGAACAGAGACTTTTGTAGACTTATTCACACCTTATTTAACGTTCTTCTGATAAGAATTTTCCTACACTTTTTTTTGTTTTATATGTTGTGCAAATTTGTCTGTTACTATGAATATCTTTTTTTCCCATTGTATTATAGCTGGAGTGAATTTAAATGAGACAAGAATCTCAAAATCTTTATTTAAATAGGAAATCTGTGGTCATTTGATTACTACTTGCATGTGAGGAAATCAGAATGCCAAGGATCTATTTCTTAAATCAGAAATTCTTAAATCACATTAAAATCTTACAAGTGTCTATACAATTTAGAGACGTAGACATCACCTAAAATATTATGACCAGGCCCAAAAGTTTTCAAGACAATCAATCAGAATTAAAGTTTCTTTGGAAATTAGTTTCATGAGAAGTGGAAACAATTTCTAATTTGGGGGAGTGTTACAAGATCCCTTCAAATAACTCTTCCAAGGACAAATTTTTGTTAACAGAGAACAGAACAAATTGGTAATGGTTACGAATAGACACATCTCCGTATTTTTCAAGAGAACAAGACTTCTCTTCTTATGAAATTTCTCATTTTGACACTTTGTCAAATCAGATTCTTTACATTAGTTTTATGGTATAGAACGGTCTCTCTCCTTCCACAGCTATGAATTGAGAGGACTTTCCCTCCATCTTTTCCTGTAATTTTGTTAGTTATGAAGACTTACATTTTTAAAGTCTGGTCTCTGGAATTTCTTTAGTTTTATAAGAAACACAGACCCATAGAGTTCAATTTTGTTGGCAGAAACAGAGAAGGGCCTGAAAAAGATTTTACCTAAAAGCAGTAAAATAGGAAGTATATAGATTTTTCTACTACAGCCACCCGTCTTGTCACTTAAATCTGTATCAGCCCACGTATAATTCATTCTCCACTCAATAGTCTGACACCCAATTACTTACACCCTTTCAACGGTTTCCAGTTGAACCTAGACAAAAGTTTAACCTCCTTACCATGCCTAAAAGCATTACATAAGCTGCCCCTTTGATCACCTCTTAAATCTCATCTCTTACCATTCTTTCTTTCACATACTACTCTGGCCTCTTTGAACAAACTGAGTAAGTTTCTGCCTCAGGAAGTTTGCACTTGATGTTGACGCTACATAAAATACTTTTCTTCTCAGCTCAACTGTCTCTTCCTCAGAGAGGCCTTCCCTGGTCTCCATTTCTTAAATATCCCCTCCAGCTTCTTTTATATCACCCTTTGATCTGTCTTTTCACCTGTTGTATCATGTTTTTTATGTATGGAAGATTTTATCTTTATGTAATCTAATTAGTCTATATTATCCTTGTGCTTATGCTTCTCTATCTTATTTAAGAAATCTTGACCTAACCTGAAGCTACCTTTCAGGTTATCTTTTCATATCTTTCCTCTTTTATGGGACATCTTGACCAATGGAGGACAGGATCCAGTGATTCCATTTTTAGGATGAACAGTTTGAGAATCATTTTTTTATGGCTCCTCAAGGGATCCCCAGCAGGATCAGGAACCAGTTGACCACAGTGGCAACCAATCCAGTTGGCTTTCTCTCTGACTCTTTCCTTCTTCCCATTTCTCTATTCCTGAAGCTTAAGGTAGTTTCAAAAATAAACTGACTGAGCACACACTCTTATCTCAACATTGGCTTCTGGGAATACCAGGCGAATACACTCATTTCTTTCCTCATTTAGATCTTTAATCCTTTTAGAATTGATTTTTGTGTGTGTGATATGAGGTAGGGGTCTAATGTTTTCTGACATAGGTAATCAATTGTCTCAGCTTCTCCCATAATGTGTAATGTCACATATGGCATGCATCAAACTGCTATATATGTATGGATTTATTTCTGGGCTTTCTAGTCTGATCCATTGCTCTATCTATTCTGCATCAACACATAGTATACCCTATTAAATATTAAAACCTTATAATATCTTGATATCTGGTAAAGCAAGTTTCTTTCAATTTTTTTCTTTTTCAGAATTGTCTTGGCTATTATAATCATTTGCTCTTTCATATAAATTTTGGTATCATCTTATCAAGTTCCCTAAAAAACCCTGTTGAATTTTTTATTGCAATTGTATAGAATGAATTTGGAAAGAAATGACATCTCTAAAATATTGAGTCTTCCAATTCATGAACATGATATATCTCACTATTTATTTATTCTCTTTTCTTTTTAGATTCTTCATTCATTTATTCAACAAATATTTATTGTCAAAGCCACTCAGTAGAGATAAAGAAGTGAACAAAATTATATTGAGTTTACATTCTAATAGGGGGATATAGGCAATACACAAATAAGTATAAAATAAGGAGTAATGGAGATATAGAGTAAAAGAAACATGCCATCTTATATAGGGTGTCCAGGGAGAGCCTCATTGGCAAATTGAAAAATAAGTACATAGCCAAATGAGATAATGGACTAAGCCACAGAGGTGAGGCTGAGAAGACCTTAGTGCAAAGCCCAAGACAGAACGTGCATGGTTTTTTGAGGAAGTGGCACGGAGGCCACTGGCTGGGGAAGTAGAGGGGATGGAGGGGGAAGTGGTTTGTCAGGATCATGTAGACCTTACAGGTCATGGTAAAGACTTTAGATTCTTGTCTTAGTAAAAGGAGAAGACATTGGAAAGTTGTGACCTGAGGAATGATATGATCTGAATTATGTTTTTAAAAGATTGCCCTGGAATTCACATGGAAAAAGACTTTAGGAGGGTGTAGGATGAGAGATCAGTAAGGAGGTCATTATAATGGTTTGGGAAAGTATGATGGTGGATTGGACTAAGCTGGTGGCAGTGGATGGGTGGATTCTGAAAATACACATGTGTATAATACTCTAACATATATAAATACATATACTTTATATATAAATGTATAATTATATATTATATGTAAATGTTTATACATAATATAGAAATATGCTTATGTAGATATATAATATAAAGATGTTACATATAAATATATACAATTATAAATTATAAGAAAATATATTAAATATATAAATTATATATAAATAAATGTTAAATTATATATAAATAAATATTATAAAAAATTATATTTAATACATATATATTTATATATAATAAGTGCTATATATATAATAAATATAAATACATCTATATATAAAACTCGAACATGTTTCTGGTCATCTAGAAGGTCACACACATGTCTAGGGAAGTACATGTACCTAGGGCTGTGTGCACACTCAGGAAAGAGCTAAGAAAGACCTGAGCTCTCACCTCGGGCTAACCTTGAGGTTCTGTGCAAGAAGGAAGTGAGAGCTAAGGTAGAGTTGTAAACTGCCTAGCTATTTGTTGAAGCCATGCATCAACACAGGCAAAGACCCCTTGGCAAAGACTGGGAAACTTACCAGTTCCAGATATTTAAGGAAATCTCTTTCTAATCATTAGCTGACTACTAAGCTAACTGAACAGAGACTACAGTGGCCACCTGGCAAAAAATACAGACTTTACAGAATTAGTTCAGAAAAAAAGCACTAAATAAACAATAAAAGCTAGCAGTAACAACAACAAACAGCAATAGCAACAAAATTGGGGGAGAGAGGAGTATCTGATTTCCAGAGTTACCATATTGTATTACATAAAATGTCAGGCTTTTTAAAAAAATTACTTGACATGCAAAGAAACAACAAAGTATTTTCCTATACTCAGGAAAAACAGAAATAGTCCCTAAGGAAGACCAGATACAGGAATTACTAGATGAAAGTTTTATTTTTTTATTTAAGTATAATTGACATACAATATCCTATTCATTTCAAGTGTACATCAGAGTGATTCAATATTTATGTACGTTACAAAATGATCACCACAATAAGTCTAGTTACCATCTGTCACCATACAAAGTTATTACAATATTATTGGATATATTTCCTATGCAGTACATTACATAC